GGTCCTCAAGGAATCAATTCTGAAGCACTTAGAGGAGAGGAAAGTGATCAGGAACAGTCAGCATGGATTCACCAAGGGCAAATCATGCCTGACTAACCTAATTTCCTTCTAGGAGGAGATAACTGGGTCTGTGGATGAGGGGAAAGCAGTGGGTGTGTTATTCCTTGACTTTAGCAAAGCTTTTGATACGGTCTCCCACAGTATTCTTGCCAGCAAGTTAAAGAAGTATGGGCTGGATAAATGGACTATAAGGTGGATAGAAAGCTGGCTAGATCGTCGGGCTCAACGGGTAGTGATCAACAGCTCCATGTCTAGTTGGCAGCCGGTTTCAAGCGGAGTGCCCCAAGGGTTGGTCCTGGGGCCGGTTTTTTTCAATATCTTCATTAATGATCTGGAGGATGGCGTGGACTGCACTCTCAGCAAGTTTGCAGATGACACTAAACTGGGAGAAGTGGTAGATACGCTGGAAGGTAGGGATAGGATACAGAGGGACCTAGACAAATTAGAGGATTGGGCCAAAAGAAATCTCTTGAGGTTCAACAAGGACAAGTGCAGAGTCCTGCACTTAGGATGGAAGAATCCCATGCACTGTTACAGACTAGGGACTGAGTGGCTAGGCAGCAGTTCTGCAGAAAAGGACGTAGGGGTTACAGTGGATGAGAAGCTGGATATGAGTCAACAGTGTGCCCTTGTTGCCAAGAAGGCTAACGGCATTTTGGGCTGCATAAGAAGGGGCATTGCCAGCAGATTGAGGGACGTGATCGTTCCCCTCTATTCAACATTGGTGAGGCCTCACCCTGAGTATTGTGTCCAGTTTTGGGCCCCTACAAGAAGGATGTGGAAAAATTGGAAAGAGTCCAGCGGAGGACAATAAAAATGATTAGGGGGCTGGAGCACATAACTTATGAGGAGAGGCTGAGGGAACTGGGATTGTTTAGTCTGCAGAAGAGAAGAATGAGGGGTGATTTGATAGCTGCTTTCAACTACCTGAAAGGGGGTTCCAAAGAGGATGGATCTAGTCTGTTCTCAGTGGTAGCAGATGACAGAACAAGGAGTAATGGTCTCAAGTTGCAGTGGGGGAGGTTTAGGTTGGATATTAGGAAAAACTTTTTCACAAGGAGGGTGGTAAAGCACTAGAATGGGTTACCTAGTGAGGTGGTGGAATCTCCTTCCTTGGAGGTTTTTAAGATCAGGCTTGACAAAGCTCTGGCTGGGATGATTTAGTTGGGGTTAGGTCCTGCTTTGAGCAGGGGGGTTGGACTAGATGACCTCCTGAGGTCCCTTCCAACCCTGATATTCTATGATTCTATGATTCTAAGTAACAAAGAGTGTAACCCTCTAGCTGTATGTAACACTTTGACTGACATGTATCTAACGCACCAGCTAATTGTTTGTTTCATAGGTTTAAATATAAAATTACCTTTAGGGAAATAATGGTTTGATTAGAGACCTCTACCACTGCCTAAAAGAAAGGCAATCCTGAAGATAATTAACAATTACTAATTACCTGGTCATTTGTTCCTCAAGTTTCTGATAAGGATTAAAAGAAATATTCCCTTAAAGAAAAACATAAGAAATTTTTGTTAAATACATATACTAAAGCATGTTTTAATAACTTTTCTGTATAAACTCCTAATCCTTCAAGGTGCTGAGCAAATCCTGAGAAGTGCGAAGTACCCTAGGCCTCCATTGACTTCAGTGGGAATTGAGGGTGTACAACAAGTTGTACAATTAGGTTTTCAGACCAAAAGTGCAGGCTTGTACCTATAATGCAACAGTGGCAATTACAATATAAAACTAAATTCTGCTGTCACTTACTTCAGAGTTACACAAGTCTAACTGAGATCAGAATTTTGCCTATAATACTCATTCTAGAATGTACACGGACTTTGTTAGTATTATCAATACATTGTATTTATATAGATCAAGAAGCACCTTTAAGCACCTTACAAATGTAGGTCCATATGTTGCCATTAGTTTTATGAGTGTAGAACCTTCACTCAATGTGAGAGCATAGTGATGGTAGTTAAAGCCATTGTCTGGTTTGTTAGGTGACTACGTTTTTATTCAACTAATTATTGTTAATTAAGGATATGAAAGAAGTATAGTTGCTAAAGCACACTGGTGAGAAGCAAGTGATCTGAATCATTCTCTTGGCTTCATCACTGATTTGCTTGGTGACCTTAGCTTAACATGACTTTGCCTCACTTTCCCCATTTCCAGTAGGGGGATAATATTATTTCCAACTCCTACCTGTAAGAGTGTTGTATAAGCCTTTATTAATTAACATATGTAAAGCACTTTGAGATGCTTAGTGCAATGAAAAGCAAAAAATATTACAATTATTATTGAAATTAGTTCTATTGCAGCCTTTATTATATCATAATAATTAAATAAGCATTGCCAATGTGCTTACTTTCTTAAATTTATACCTTAAACATCATGAATTGTGCATGCGTACTTTACAGCACAAGATTCCAAATAAAAAAGACTGTTACAAGACTTGTTTTCCACAATAATTAATTAAAAGGTGGAAAGCATCTACTGAGAAAGAGATATAATGGTTTGAAGCTCTGACATATACACAAGAAATGTAAATCTTTTAATCTTTTCCCCGGTAACATGAAGCGTTTCCTTTCATTCTGGATATAGCGTGTGGGATGATGCTTGTGAGGAAAGCAAAGGAGCATGTTTTGGAAAATGATTGACAATGAATGCATGAACTCATTAAGTACTCAAGAACACGAAGTGTAAATATAGGCTTCAACCTGGGTGTTTTGAGTATGACTGGAGAAGTCTGCTATTGCACAACTTCAAGACAAGATGCTAGAAGAGGAAAGGAACAAAGTTAGTGAGCAGATATCATATGTCTCTGTCATACACTTTCTCATGTTATTTTTAAACTGCATGGCTTCAGCAGCGTAAAGCCTATCAGGAAATAAAATTGCAACTGCACAAAGTGACTATTGTCACTGTTGTACTAGGGAAGCTCTAGCAGGCCAGCACAAGTTAAAAAATAAGAGTGGTACTGGCTGAGGAAAGGCATGACCAGATCTACCAAAGAGCAAATTGATTCACTTCATCCCCTCAGCATCCTCTGTGGATGGGTTATAAACTAATGTTTTACACCCTCCTAAATAGAAATCCTGAAGGAAGTCAGAAATAGTAACACCTCAATATTAATATCCCCCAGGGTGCAGCTAGTGCAAGGATGCATAATTTTACATTTCTCTGCATCAGCAATAGTGAAACCATGTAAGGGTCTGGGGCATAGGTAGTCTGGCAAAGCAGTCATAGCTGGTTGGTTTCCATACTTCAACAATGGTCACAAGACAGTAGTCAGTGAGTGGGGATCACTGTAAGCACCAGCGCCAAGGTCAATAGGCAAGAGTCAGGCCAGAGATAATACCAGGCTAGAATTAGGAGGCAAGAGTCAGAGTCAGGCTGGGTTAGAGACCGGAGGGTAGAAAGCAAGTGTGGTCAGGAGTCACAGCAGACTAGAAATCTGTGTGATTGCCTAAACCAGGGCTGGCTCCAGGCACCAGCAAAGGAAGCAGGTGCCTGGTGCAGCCAACAGAAAGAGGCGGCAGTCCATCCGTTATTGGGGCAGCACGTCCGGGTCTTCGGCAGCAATTCGGCGGCGGGTCCTTCGGTCCCTCTCTTCCTCTTCGGCGGCAGCTCAATCGGGTTTTTCTTTTTTTTCTTTTCTCTTTGCCACTTGGGGTGGCAAAAAAGTTGGAGCCGGCCCTGGGCTAAACAACTTCGTAGGCCAAACTCTAAGGTTACTTGGCCAATCAGAGGGCCGCAGGGTACTGTCAGTCTGGATCCTTTGTGCAGTACTTCCTGTAGGGCCTAATCTCCCCAGTGCTCCCTGGTTTTGGCTTTGTATGCCCTCTCTGTAGCAATGGGGGGCTGTCAGCCATCCCAAGGTCTAGTCCCACAGATCTTATAAGCCACCTCTTACACTTCAGTGTAAGAGCATCCAACCCTCTGTGACTTAACTATCTGCCTGTAAAGGCAGAAGAATAGTTCTAAACAAATAATGAGAGAGAGAACATAAGTCTTTGGAGAAGTTTAGGAAATTCTAAGTGCAGGTAAAGTCAGTAGTCTAGTCACCCCCTAGTGAAGGCTAGGTGAAATAAGTGAAGATTTCCAGAAAGACTGAAAAGGGATTCAAAGTAAATTAATAAGATCTAACTGGGGCTAGCAGGAGGAGATTAGATGTTTTTAGCTGAATCGTCTACAGGACTCTGATCAGAACGAAAAGAGGACATAGAAGAGATCGATGGGAAAAAAAACACAAGCATCTGTCAAGTTTTCTCCCTTAGACCAATATAAAAGGCATTTTTCTGTTCTCATAAGAGGTACAATAATTATAGGAGAGAAGGAGCCTCTTCTTTTATTTCCTGAAAACCTTTCTCATTATGTGAACATGAATGAACTTCAGTCTCAGCACTTCGTATTTAAGTGCACTGAAGGTGTGTTCTCTGTAATCAATTAATTTTGTTCCATGGGGAACCCCCGCCACATATTTAAACCAGGGTGCTTCTTTTTCTATCAAAGATATTAGGGACTAAGATTTTCTTTGTCCCTCAAAGGAAAGTGATAGGAGCTCATGCCTGGAGAATTGAACCTCACATTGTAAAGTCTCTGGGGCAGAGACTCTGTCCTTTTGTTTGTCTGTAACTGCATGAAAATTTATATTTCAATATTAACATATTTATATTTAATAAATAAATAGCATTACGAGTATCATGCTTACCTGGGTTGCCGTTACTGGGTAAGACTAATACATGATTTAATCATTTATTTATGAATATCTCTGTAATTATTGTGACTTTCAAACTGCCTCTTATTTTTGAGATATTGTATATGTATTTTGCCTGTTCTCTTTTTCATATACCTCATCTCACAATTTCACATTCATCCCCTTTTTCTTCCCTCAACTCCACATTCAGTGTCACAGGACATTTCCATTTCTGTGACATTTCAAAAGAAGTACCAGCTCTGCAGAAATCAGTATAACAGTTAATGGGTGCTTTTAATATTTTAGGAAGGCCTGGAAACAGGGTACAAAATTAACCTCTGGTATATCTCCTCTGTAATAAATGGGCCACAGATTAATTTGGCTCAGCCATTAGGAGCAAACTGACTCCATTGGATTCATTATCCAGAGGATAAGCTGCCATTCCTTCCTGTTTTTATTGTAATGCAGACAATTATTCTCTCCATACAAGCTGTATTCTAATGTCACCAATTAAAAACGAGGACAGTTCTTACCTGGATTAGATATGTTTCCTGGATTAACAAAGCTATCTGTCATATCTCCAAAGATTATCATCATGATTGGGAGAGCTGCACCATGAAGGATTGCCATGGCAGAACCAAGAACCATTAGTAATTTATCCAACCAATCAGAGTACCGAAACTGAAAATGGGAACACCTTCATGTGAAAATGGGAACACCTTCATTCCTGAAAACTTCTCTAATTTCATGCATTAAAAAGGGCTAGCACAACATTAGGGATGCACAGTTAAGATAACAAAAAGTCATAAAAGCTTAAGTCTTGTATACGCACAGTTTTTATAACATTCCACTCTATCGGATTAAAATTTAAATTGACAAAAATAATTTAAAGTTATAGAAATAAGCCATACTGATATAAGCATCTTTATACTTAGGGCCCTACCAAATTCACAGTCCATTTTGGTCAATTTCATGATCATAGGATTTTAAAAATCATAAATTTCATGATTTAAGCTATTTAAATCTGAAATGTCACAGTGTTGTAATTATAGGGGTCCTGACCCTAAAAAAGTTGTGGGGATGGGGTCACAAGGTTATTGTAGGAGGGGTTGTGGTACTGTTACTCTTACTTCTGGCTGCTGCTGCTGGCAGTGGTGCTGCCTTCAGAGGTGGGCAGTTGGAGAGTGGCGGCTGCTGGTCAGGATCCCAGCTCTGAAGGCAGAGCCGCCACTAGCAGCAGTGCAGACATAAGGATGGCATCGTATGGTATTGCCACCCTTACTTCTGCACTGCTGCTGCCTGCACAGCTGGGCCCCCAGTCAGCAGCCGCCACTCTCCAGCTGCCCGGCTCTGAAGGCAGCAGCACAGAAGTAAGGGTGGCATGGTATGGTATTTTGTGCAGCTAGAATAATAGTGAATAATATTAAGTAGTATCTACTGCACAGAATATTTCCTATTTAGAATAGTGTGGTTCTTGATAGAGACAATTTTGCCCTTAAACTGCTACTGAAATTAGACCTTGAGGACAAAATTTGGCCAGCATTTTGCAATATAAAGAGAAACATTCTCTCTGGTATTTGAGCTCTCGGTGTAATTTAGCTATCTTGTTAAAATAATTAATTAAAAATTATGCTGAATACGGGAGCTGACAAGAACCCACAAAAATCAGCAAATCCAGAGTGAAGTGTATAAGAGTCCTTTTATCTAAAAGCCAAAAATGAGAGAAAATCATACTTCATCTTTTGTTTTTAATTTAATCACAAAATGCCTAGATATTGCAACTTATACATAGTAGAAGGGAGATCATAGAAAAGTTTGTAGTTGCTTCAGGATGCTCATAAGCCACTTATTGAACATTAATGCAATACCTCTGTGGACTTTCCGATGAATCTCTGCTATTGTTCATGGATGCCAACATTTGTTACCCTATTAGAGTCTAAACAGTAGTCATTAACATTAACATACCACATGCACAAAACATATCTAATATACCTAAGCACAAAATAATAAGTTAAAATCAAAGATTTTATCCTGGTTGAAGTCACCAGTATAAAAATCTCTCTGTTATTAAGGGGTTGTCTATACTTATGCCAGGTGTATACTAGAAAAAGTTTGCTGGTATAACTTTACTGGCAAACCCTCCTACTGTAAACACAGCTTATATTATCAAAAAAAGTGCTTTTGTTGATATCGTTTATACCAGTTCTCCAAGTGAAATAAGCTCTCACAGCAAAAGCACTTTAATGCCAGTATAACTGCATCTACAGTACAACTTTTACTGATATGGAAATATCACAAAAATCATACCCCAACTGACATTACTATACCAGTAAAAGTTTTTAGTGTAGGCCTGTCCTCAAAGGTTTTGCCACTTTAACTATACCAGTGTAGTTAAAGCAGCAAAAAAAACCCCACAGTTATACTGGTATTAGGCCATACAGCAAGTGTGAAAAATCGGGACAGGAGGTGGGGGGTAATAGGAGCCTATATAAGGAAAAAGCCCCAAATATCGAGACTGTCTCTATAAAATCGGGACATCTGGTCACCCTAACTGGTATTAAAATGTTTACACTGGTATAGCTTATTGTAGTTCAGAAACCAAATTAAGCTATACTAGTATAAGGCACCTTTATATTGGTATAACTGCATCCACACTAGTGTTTTTACTGATATAACTTTGTTGGTAAAGTATAATACCCCTAACTGACATAGTAATGCAGGTAAAACTTTTAAGGCCAGGTCCACACTACAAACTTTTGTCAGCATAGCTATGTTGGTCGGTGTCATAGGTGCTGGAACTAGGAGTGCTGGGGGGTGCTGCTGCATCCCCTGGCTTGAAGTGATTTGCATTATATACAGGGTTTACAGTATGGTTCAATAGCTCTCAGCACCCACACTGTACAAATTGTTCCAGTACCCTTGGTCAGGCTGTGAAGTGGTGTGGGTCCCTGACTAACACAGGTCTGCCAGCAAAATCTCCTAGGTAGATGCAGTTATACCGGTAAAATTACACTTTTGCCAGTACAGCTTACTTTACTTGTGGGGGAGGGATGTGTGTGGAATACGCTATACAGGCAAAAGCACAGTTTGGCTGGTATAAACTGTATCCACACAGGTATACCAGAAATGTAGATCAGGCCTTATCAGTAAGACTTGAAACATTAAAAAACATTGTTTAAAGTTCATTATTAAACTTTAATAGATATATATAGCATATATCTTACCATTGTTAATGGGCTGACCACATTAGGTTTCTTTGGCTTCTTCTCGTCCTCACTGTTGAATATGAATGATTGTTTTAATGTATTGTAAAAGAGAAAATATTTAACTGCAACTCTAACATTTAAAGTAGTAATACAGTTAAATCTAAACAAAATTAAACAAGAATGTAAGAGATATAAGAACATAAAATGAAGATGATTTGCAGATTAGTCTTAGTTTATTTCTGGAAATATTGTCCGCAATGTTTTTAAGAAACCTCCAAGTATATTAAAGAACATCAACATGGTACTTCTCCAAAAATTCACTTGAAAGGAAATTAACATTTTTGGTTAATCTGCTAGATTACAGAAACTCACTAATAGTAGCTCCTGGTAATCTTTTGAAATAGATTGGCTAGTCTATGTATCTTGATTTTTTACTGAATCCCTACTTTTGGCAAACATGTAGATTATGGTCACTCCAAGATGACCCAAAGGTGAGAGTATTGTAGAGATCAAAAAAGAGTTTAAGACTCAGTCCACAAACTGGGCCATACAGAAGAATCTTTATGCCTATGTGGAGCCCCATTCACTTCAGTATGACTCTATCGGTGTAAGGGTCCTCCTGCATAGATCAGTTTGCAGGATTTGAGGCCTGGTTTCTAAGAAAGCAAGGTGTTGAGTAGAATCTGTTACCAAGGCAAGGAAAAGACTATCGGGGGGAAAAATTAAAAGTTGGAGGGGAAAAGTTTAACCTATTGTGATGGTCACATATTTAGTACAACCTAATGGAAAAGTATATGGACACAAACACAGAAAAAACGTGCACAGTTTGCAAGGAAGTTTCCCTCTCGCGGTCCCTTCCAGTCCTAGACGTCTATGAGTCTATGATCGTAACTTATCTGGAGTTATTTCACTTTTAACATTATTACAACACAATCTGGTGTCCATGAGGTATTATACTGGTCATTCACTCCAGAAACTCCAGCTGTAGTTATTCTATGCAATAAAGTGAGAAATCCACACTTAGTCCCAATCATGCAATCAGATCTGTGCAAGCTGTACTGACACAGTGACAAAACACCAAAAGCTGCTACAGCTTTGTCTACAGTAGCACTCCCACTGGTGCATCATAGCACCAGCAGGAAATTTTTTTCTAAAATTCCTTAGTGTAGATAAGGTTTAATTACAGTTTTATAGTGTTATAATAATGACGTGATACAATCATGAGTTACAATTCCAAGGTCCATATCCCAAATAAATTGTTGCAGCTTTCTCGCCAGATGTAAATAAAAGAAAGATGATCATACTTGTGCAATGCAGCTAACAGCACTTGCAGATCACGCAGTAACAATAGCTTATGAACTCCTCCTACACATCGTAGGCACATTCCTCAATTAAAGCCTCACCATATCTTTCCTTTAATAAATACTTCTAAAATTAGAAAAATGTATATAGCCATTGAACACTGAGACCTAATTAATATCTGGTTGAAAATATGACAAATAGTTCCAGCATTATACAGCTTTGTATTAGTTTGTCTTTTCCTGAGGGATGGTCTAAACTAAAAAGTTAGGTTGGCTTAGCTACGTCACTCAGGATTATGAAAAAATTCACATCCTGTATGACATAATTAAGATGACTTAAGCCCCTAGACACCAGTAGGTCGACAGAAGAATTCTTCTATCAACCTAGCTGCCTCCTCTTGGAGTGGTGGATTTACTATGGTGACAGAAAAAATCCTTCCATTGCTGTAGTAAGTGTCTGAGTTACATCACGTTCCAATACAAATTAAACTGGGGATGTTAGTAGATATTGCCTTCTTTGCAACAGTAAACAGAGTATAAAGTAATCCATTGTTGTATGCAGTGTAGTTGTAGCCATGTAGGTACCAGATATTAGAAAAACAAGATGGATGAGGTACCTTTCCCAAACCTGAAGAAGGGCTCTCTGTGGCTCGAAAGCTTCTCTCTCCCACCAACAGAAGTTGGTCCAATAAAAGATATTACTCTCACCCACCTTGTCTCTATAAAATCATCCATCAAGGACAAAACTGGGGGTGGAGGGGAGAAAATTTTAGCTGACAATCCTCATATCTTGTGGTTACCATATAATCAGAATTGTGACAGTTTTTTCTCTCAGTGTTACTGACTTCTTAGAATGTATCACTCAGTAAGTACTAATGCTAATGAATGACTGGATACCCATTTTCAGAACTCAAGGAGAGCAACAAAGTACTATAAAGTTTTAGGGGCTGTCTTCATCCAATGTAGTCAGGAAATGTGCTTTCTTAGTGTGAAATAGTAAGAAGATGAACTCCAGTGATATGATTCTTTCTCTTTGTATGGTCAGTGATCCATTCTGGAATCCTCCACCAAAGAATCCAAGAAAAGGCCCATACCTCTCTAGAGATTTTGCTGAAAAAAATCCCACACTTTGCAGCCAAAGCCTATTAGACTCATTTAGATGTTACGACAGCAAAGGCAGAAAGTCAAAGTATTTAATGGATTTTGCAGGAAATCTATAGGCTCAGGGATGCCCAGGAAGGTCCAGATGAAAGATCAAATACCGATGATTTTTTTCCCTTTAACATTGGTAGTGGTGATCCTAGGTTTTATGTAGCACTTTGCAAAGTAACAGTTGCACACACCCATATCAGGCTCACATGTAACAAAGCACTTCTCTCCAGCTTGTGCCATGAAACCTCCTGATTCTCAGAATCTCCCTTCAGAATGTACTCAACCCCCTACCTCTAACATATTTATGGGGATTCATGTCTTCTGGTGATCCTGTTATATGGCATGGGAAGCCATGAGTTGAGGCACTGTGCAATTTTCTAAATAGGGAGGAGGACAGAACTCACAGACAGGGCCGGCTTTAGGCCAATTCCACCAATTCCCCCGAATCGGGCCCCGCGCCTAAGAGGGCCCCGCGCTCAGTGGCAGTGCCGCCCAGAGTGGGGGGCAAGTGGCAGAGAATCCCTTCCCTGGCTAGTGGCACCTTTTTAATTTTTACTCACCTGGCGGCGCTCTGGCTCTTTGGCGGCACTTTGGTGGCAGGTCCTTCAGTGCCGCAGAAGACCCGGAGCGAGTGAAGGACCCGCTGCCAAAGACTAGGAGTGCCACCTGGTGAGTACAAACCCCACGTGTTTTTTTACGTGTTTGTTTTTTTAGTCATCCCTGTCGGGGCCCCGTCGAAACTGTTCGAATCGGGCCCCACACTTCCTAAATCCGGCCCTGCTCACAGAATCCATTCCTGCCACAGTTCACTAGTATATGAGATAGATGGATGAAGTAGCAGGAATGGTATTCAGGGTATATAAAACTGTCTTTGACCCTGGTGTACATCTACATTACCAGCGTGGGTTTATCCATTGCTGTAGTAAATCCATGCCCTCAAAAGGCGGTAGCTAGTTTGACAGAAGAATTCTTCTGTCAACCTAGCAGTGTCTACACTGGGGCTTAGGCTGCTTAACTATGTTTCTCAGGGGTGTGAATTTTTCACACCTTTTAGCAACATAACTAGGACGACCTAAGTTTTAGGAGTAGACCAGGCCTTAGTCACCCCTACTAAAAAGCTATAATACCTACTTAACTTTTGGGCATATGTGCTTTAGCTGTCCATTATCTATTCCAGCTTCAGTTCTAGCACTATTTTAGATATGCCTTTTAATGAAGTATAATGAATATAACTGCCACTTCCTCTTTATGGGAAAGAACAAGGAGCAAGATGGCAGAATTTTCTGTCTCTATCCCATTGCCCCAGTGAACGGCTCAGCCAGTGTTGCTGGCCCAAGACTGCTAGTTGGACAGACCTTCTCTGACCTGATGAATTCAATAGGAGCCAAATAAGTTGCTAAATATTTTATTTATATTTGAAAGATAGTAGATTTCCAAAGAATTTTGTACATGGGAAAAGTATGTAATTAATGTAAAATGTATTTCAAGGTAAAATCTGAACTTAAATATTTAAAAATGTTAACTTGCTAAAAATATTTTAAAATAGATTAAAATATTTACCATTTGTCTTTGGATTCACAATCCTGGTCTGGTACAGCAGCATCACCAGCTCTTCCATTCGCATCAGACATTTTTTCATTTTCAGACCCCACTTTAATCTATTTAGGAAATGAAGCATCACAGAAAACTGTAGTTATAAGTCAGCACTTAATTGAGAGAACATACAGCTATTAAGCTCAGGACAAATATGTTGATGACATTTTATTTGAAACTGGCATCATATTCTGCCTTCAGTTTTTAAGCTTCTTTTATCTTCAGAACCCATGTTAATTTATTTAGGAAATGAAGCATCTCAGAAAATTTAATTATAAGCTAGCATTTAACTGAGAGAACATACAGCTATTAAGCTCAGGATAAATATCTAGGTGACATTTTGTTTAAAACCAGGATCATATTCTGCCTTCAGTATTTCAGCAGAACTCCCCATGGAAATCAATACATTTGCTTATGTGTGTATACACATGCATTTCTATTTGCATAATCCTTCTGAGTCTATCATTTCAAAGCATTTATTTTTTCTGTAATTTATCAGTTATAAAACAAACAGCAATATGATGTGTTTATTTAAAGGAGCCTGCAGTTACTTTGGATTTTTTTCTCTTTTTACATATTGTTGAATTTTGTTAAATATCTCTCGTATAAAAATAAATGTACGGACTTACCATGAGAATTGTTCTTAGTTACCCTTTCCTTCTCCTTTTCTGGAAGGCTATAAGGCAATTGACAGATCTACTGTGGTTAGGGACATATGATGGGGCTGGACTTTACTCCTCCTGATTAAAATGTAATGATGAAAAAGCTTTCAATAGCTGATGTTTGCCAGGTTTTACCACTCCCTTTGGACCTTGCCTAGCCCCATGAGGTAAATGCATGTGTGCTCTTAACTCCGCCTTCCCAAAGGAGAATGTTTAACAAAGTCTTGAATGAACTACTGGGTTACTGTCATTCATGTAAACAGCTCTGAAAAATCCCCTAATATCCCACCCTATAGAAAATCCTTGCTATTTACTGAGGACTTTATTAGCCTGTTAATTCTCAGGATTGCTTCCCCACTGTGTTAGGGATGGAGCAGAATAGCACTGCTCCAAGAGATGCTCCAGGAGAAATTCCTCCTTATTGGGAGTGAATGCACTATAACAGCCTGAACCACGGTAGGTAGGAGAGACAGGATTAGTACCCTACCTCGTCCCTGCCCCCATTAGGGTGGTTTGCACGAGAAGGCACAGTTCTTTTGCACTAAGGAGCATATCCTCCCTTGCCTGAGTACTCACACATCAGCAGAGCATGGTCTGGTCCAAATGAGGAAGTCCAGCAGAGATACTTTGTGAGACACTGGATCACACAGCTAAATCACTTAATCTAGTTTAATTCATGATATAGCCTCCTCCAATTTGCTCATTTCGAAGCCTAGAATGAATAATCTGAATAACCATAGCATCCTGGCTGCTTTCATTTTAGGGTTTGATTTGTTACTTCAACAGCTCTACAACTTCTTTGTAGATTTGTGGCTCTCTAGTCCCCAACTATGAAAGGACTTTTTCAGAGGGAAGTATTTACCTTGAGGTTTCCTAAAATTAATGTATATTATATATGGACTTGAGTGTTAAAAAGAAATCCTAACAAAATCAGTTAGGTTTAAAATTCTATGCTTTCAAATGTCTTTTATTTTTGAAAGCTTGGAAAGACAGTATACATAATTGAATTAGCATGTTCAGAGTAAAAGACTAAGGCCATGTCTACAGTACAAACTTTAGTTGACACAAGTTAGCCCCATGGTTAGTATATTGTGCATATTTGGCTGCTTGCATTATTGCTGCACTCACTCACCCGGGGGTGAAAGTAACTTAAAAGTCTTATTGGTACAGGGGCCTCGCTCCAGCAGGGCCTTGAGCAAAAGGGGCAAGGCTGGGGGTCAGCTTCCCCCAGCCAGCCCTTCCATGCTGCCCAGCTTGCGCAGCCTGGGGCTCCAGTGGCAGTAGCAGAAGTGGCGGCCGGGAGCCCCGGGCCCTTTTAAATCACCAGGTCTCAGGCAGCTGCCCCTTTTGCCCTCCTCCTCCCCCTCGGCAGCCCTGGGACACTACCAGCAGGGCCACCAATGGGGGGCGGGGGCAAAAGGGACAGCGCGGCAGGGCTTTAACGTCGGTTCTGTACGGGCCCGTACCGGAGGCCACTTCTTACCAGTATGCTGTGTACCAGTCCATACCAGCCCACTTTCAACTCTGCACTCACCACAAGTGATTGTGTTGATGCACAGTGCAGTGCTCAATGGGTAGTTATCCCATGTGCCATTCACCAGTGGCCTGAGCAATGCCTTCTGGGAAATTTTTACAAGACATTGTGGGGTGGAAACAGGTTGTGCAGGGGTGACTGTGGCAAATTTCTCCATCCCATATTGCCATCCATATCTCATAATTTTTGCACTTTTTTAAAGTCCCACAAACCCATATAGTACCTTTTACTGTCACCATCTGACAGAATCATGGAATTCACAGATCTCTGCGCTATTGTGATGAATGTTGCAAACACACCCTCTGGTATTTACAGAGCCACAGGAAGTACTGCAACCACTGGTGACATGACAATTTTTTGAGGACAGATTTCTAAGATACATAGCAAAAAAAAAGTGGGGTTGTTGGCGCTTAGCCCAACCTCAAGTTAGCAGGACAAAGTTATCAACTTTTCATTGTTTTACTTGAACAAGGAGAAGTAGCAGTACAACAAATGGATGAAGAAAGTTGTCTGGTGGGAACTTGATACCTTGCTTCCAGCTCCCATTGTGCAACTCCTGTGTGCCTCACAATGCATTATGAACATTTCCCAAAAGGCATTGAACTGCAGGGTAGTGCATGTCAGGGAAAGTGTGGGACCCTTAATGAATGGGGGAGGCAACCTAGTGACAGATAATGTGGAAAAAGCTGAAGTACTCAAGGCTTTTTTTGCCTCGGTCTTCACAGACAAGGTCAGCTCCCAGACTGCTGTCCTGGGCAACACAGTACGGGGAGGAGGTGAGCAGTGTGAAATGCCCTCAGTGGTGAAAGAACAGATTAAGGACTATTTAGAAAAGCTGGACATGCACAAGTTCATGGGTCCAGATCTAATGGATCGGAAGGTGCTGAGGGAATTGGCTGATGTGATTGCAGAGCCATTGGCCATTATCTTTGAAAACTTGTGGTGATTGGGGGAGGTCCCGGATGATTGGAAAAAGGCAAACAGAAGCGTAGTGAGCGCCCTCTATACCCTCCGACTGGAGGGGGGCCCGCAAGGAAGGGGGCCCCTAAAAGTGGCAAAAAAATGTAAGGTATAACTAGGTAAGTGACATTTATTGACGCTATTGCACAATCCATGTCGGTTTTACTGACAAAACCGTGAAGTCATTATGATACATCATAATGCTATTGGCTACATCAGTTGTCTGTCGGTCAGTTTCGAATTTTAGTTGGACCCATTCAAAGAATGTGTATTTGCGTTCATAATGGT